GATAGACTTTAATATAGTAATTGATGGGGACTTCAACACCACACTTGCAGCATTGGACAGATAATCTAGACAAAAGATAAACAAAGAAACATGAGCTTCAAATAGCATTTTAGACCAAATGGTCCTAACAGACAATTATAGAACATTTCATCTAACATCTGCAGAATACACATGCTTTTCATCAGCACATGAAACATTCTTCAGGATAAACCACAGGCTAGGGCACAAGAAAGGTCTCAACAAATTTAAAAGAATTGAAATAATATCAAGTATCTTTTCTGACCATGATGAAATGAAACTGGAAATTAATAACAACAGAAACATTTGAAATAGCATAAATACATGGAAATTAAACGATATGCTACTGAATGACCAATGTATGAATGAAGAAATAAAGAAGGACTTTTTTTTTTGAGTCGGAGTCTCACTCTGTCGCCCAGACTGGAGAGTGCAGTGCCTGCTCCCGGTCACCGCAGCCTCGACCTGCTGGGCTCCGACGATCCTTCCGCCTCAGCCTTCCAAGTAGCTGGAATTACAGGCACGCGCTACCACATGCGGCTGATTTTTTTTTTAATTGTAGAGATGAGGTCTCACTGCTCAGGCGGGTCTCGAACCCGCGGGCTCAGGCAATCCACTCACCTCAGCCTCCCAAAGGCGTGGGATTAAAAGCTGAGCCACCGAGCCTGGCAGGATATTTAAAAGTTTATTGAAACAAATGAAAATAGAAGCGCAACATACAAAAATCTATGAAATACAGCAAAAGAAATTCTAAGAAGGAAGTTTACAGCAATAAACACCTACATCAAAAAAGTGGATCTGAAATAACCTAACAATGTATCCCAAGGAACTAGGAAAATAAGGATAAAACAAACCCATATTAGTAGAAGGAAAGAAATAATAAAGTTCCTGGCTAAAATAAACTAAATTAAGACTAAAAAATACAAAAGATGAATAGACAAAAGTTGTTTTTTTGAAAAGATAAGCAAAATTGACAAACCATTAGTTAACCAAGAAAAAAAGAGAAAAGACCCTAATAAAGTGAGAATTTGGCTGTGGCCTCAAATCTTGCTTGGGGCAGTGCTCCTGGCTGTCACAGCCCATCATTCAAGGAGCCAGGTGAAAACCAGGTCTCTCTGACCTGTGCTGTGGAAAAATCACACTAATTTTTTCAAAATGATGGTTTGTTTACTTAACACATTTGAAAATCAGATAAAAAGAGTTTTAGCGCCTTTAAAAAACTTAGGCAAGATGCCAGGGAGGATGTGGAGAAAAAAGAACCCTGGTACACTGTTGGTGGGAATGTAAATCAGTACAGCCATTATAAAGAACACTACGAAAAACTAAAGATAGAACTATCATAGGACTTAGCAATTCTGCTACTGGGTATATATCCAAAAGAAAGGAAATCAGTATACCAAAGAGATATCTGCACCCCCATGTTCATTGCAGCACTATTCACAATAGCCAAGGAATGAACTCTACCTAAGTGCCCATCAATGGATGAATGGGTAAAGCAAATGTATATATACGCAGTGAAATATCATTCGACCCTAAAAATATAGAAATCCTGTCATTTGCAGCAACATGGATGGAACTGGAGGATATGGCATTAAGTAAAATAATTCAAGCACAGAAAGACAAACATTACATGTTCTCAGTCACATGCATGAGCTAAAAAGCGGATCTCATGAAGACAGAGAATATATTGATGGTTACCAGAGGCCGGGAAGGAGATGGGGGAGGGAGGGATGAAAAGGGAAAAATCCCCCAGAATATACGGTGTCCTTATTACCATTGAACTGTCCACTTTAAAATGGTAAAGGTGGTAAGTTATATATGTATATTTTACCTCAGTTTAAACAAAGAAGAAGGGAGGATGTTGAAGTTCGTGCGGGAAAAAGAAGATAATTGTGAAATGCCTGTGGTGTTCATGCCCAGGGGCATTCAAGACAGGAATGTCTAAAATGTAAACAGTGCATTTGTTATGCTAGAAGGCAACATAACCTGCTTCTCGTGCTTCTAAACCCTCAACAAAATCTTGAAGTACCAAACAAGCAAACAGATTTAAAAATTTTGCTGGGAGGTTCTGTGCGTGCTGGAATCCAGTGCTAATGTGTGTCCACCTCATTGGAAGGGGAGACTGAGGACTGCCATGGTCAGCTAACGTTCCCTGATGGAAAAGGGGATGGTCATGAGGAAGGGTAGTGTGGGAGGTATGTATTCACTGGAGGGAACATGTGGGATGGCCACTGGGAATTAGTGCTAGAGACCTCACTCTCTTAACTTGTTTGGGAAGCCTTGGAGTGTTATAGAATAAAATCCATTGCTGACATCTTCCTTGTGGTTCATGTCACCTGTCACTCAGGGACATGGGGAAATTAAATTGGTGCGATGAGGCTGGCTTTTCACCCCACCCTGTTGATTGCTCTCACACGGCACAGCCCTCTGAGGGTGTCCAGGCTCTTTCAGTCCTCAGGTGGTGGAGGACCAGATCATGCTGACAGGGATCATACGTTTTCTTTATAAAAACTTGGATGTTGTGGGTTCCATTTCCCAACCCTTGGAGCTTGCCGAATCCAGGGTCTCAGCAGTGATGCCCTGAGGCTACTTCTGCTGCTGCCTCCGAGGTAACTGTCAGATCCCCAGGAGCTGTCATTTGTCCTTGCTGAACCGGGGACAGCCTCTCTCCAAGGGCTCTGCCACCATTTTTCCCTCCTGTTTCCCCAGGACTAGGTATCATACTTTATTGATCAAAGGCTGCTGCTTTTCACACAGCTGATTCTGTTTGCCAAGAGTTGGTTTTGAGGGCAGTTTATTTTAAACTGTTAAATTTGATGAGACTTCACTTCCATTGTTATGTATTCTTAGCGGTTCAAGATGAGTTTTGAAAAAAGAAAACAACTACAACAATCAATCTATATTGTGACAACTTGTGTGACTAATTAATGCTCCGCAAAGTACCATGAAACTTACAAGACACCATATAAACCACAAAACCATAACACGTTTCTTGTTTGAAATTGTATTAGTAAATTCAGCATCTGCATTACAGGAATACACTGTATTAGTAAATTGAGCATCTTTTATTGACGCACCTTGTTAAGCTGGAAAATAATCCTTATGGCTTGATAAAGGTCCTGTAAGTCCTGGTAGGTGCCATTTTGGAAATGAATTAAGTTGAATAAATGAAGGCAGATGTCAAGCATTTAATTGGCCCTTCTCTCCCTGCTGGCTCTATCAATTTTGGAACCATTGTCAGAGATGATATGATTCACTGATAGGAAATTGACGTGGTGGGTTAGATACTGCTGGTCTCTGGAGACAAGAGGCTGGCTATGCAGAGTAAATGTTTAATACCTGGCTAATGCCACTGTAGCCTGGTCTTCACAGACTCTTCTACTGAAGTTCCTCCAATAGCAGAGAGGAACAGGGAAGAAGGCTGTGGGTGGCTTACCCCAAGTTGCCCACAAAATTTGTTTTCAAGTCTCGAGGGTTTATGTTAAGTATTCAAGTGCTTTTGTTTTCTGCTTTATGCTAACATTTTCCTCCAAATCTTCAGCTACAAAGGTTTGACTGGAAAGATGTGTCTTTTAATTCTGTGGCTTTCGGAACCCTCAGGCTTAGATACTTAGCTGGAGAAGCAGGTATAAAAACAATGATCAAAGGGATATTAAAAAAAAACACACACACCAGGAAACAACTAAAGTAACTTTGGTGTTTAAAATGTAATTCTTAAGCGGTCAGCCAGGCTGAGAGACAAGAGGCAGAGGCCATGATGGCACTTGTCTTTAGAGCGACCACATCCCAGTAGGGATGAATTGGCAGGGAAGATTGAGGCAGGGGAGCAGGTGACAGGCTGTCTCAGTTACCAGTGGAGATGATGGTGGCCTGAACCTAGCTGTCATCCAGAGTGAAGAGAGAGCATGAAGGAGCAGCAAGATTTGATAGGATGTGGTGACTACAACATGAAGAGGTGAGGAGGAGAGAGTAGACTCATTGATTAGTAGACACTGAGCACCTACATGTGCTGAGCATTTCAAACTCGATTCTCACTGGAATGTCCCAGCTTCCTTGGGTGATCAGCTCGGGCAGTTCTGATGAGGAATCTGAAATTTAATCAGGTTGAGGAAGTATCCATTGTCTCTGCTAGTGAGCAGCAGGACCCATGTCTATCCTTGGGATGGTTCAAGGGATGTTTCTGGGGCAGAATCAACAGGCCTTAGGGATTGTCAAGACAAGGGTGGATAAGTAGTATTAGGAGGAGAGATGTCTCTACCTTCTCCCATAAATTCCATTTCCAGAACTTTCTTATCCAAAGATACCCCACCACCCCTGCACAATTCATTCCATTCCTAACACCAGATCCCATCTCCTGCTTTTTGAATGGGACACTGGACTTAGAGTCTGGTGGCCTGGGGCGGGACCCAACCGCATCCCCTTCTAACTCTTTCAAATTACTTTACTTCTCAGAGCTTCAGCATCCCCCTCAGAAAAATTCACATAACAATTTCATTGTGAGAATGAAAGAAAATCATGTAAAAGAAGGCAGCACTGAGTCCAGTGCCAAGACAGTGCTTGATACACAGTTATTGTCAGTTCATTCAGTGTCCTTAGATAATGTTCAGTTTTACTATATTTGGCAAGTTTTGAGTTGTGGCACATGGTTTGACTTTTGTCAATATTTGTAAATTTTAAAAGAAGGTAATTCTTACCAATTGGATTTGTCAATATTCTGTTTCCTGTTCTATCCCCAAACATTGGAATATATACTATATTAGAGTCAGTAACAGGCCTCCTGTGAAACATCTGTGAAGTCCCCTTTAGGTGAGAATGGCCACTCTCTGTCCTGGTCAAGACTCAGAAACTTCAACTCTAAAGATATCCTGGCTTTCCCCACATGTCATCTTTCCTTCATACCCTATCTTCCCGTGGTTCGAACTGCCCCGTGTTGGTCTGTTGGCTGTGTGCACATCATCACCTTCTCCTGGCTTTCTCTTTAGTTGTGGCTGTTTACATAAAGGAATCCTGGTGGTCCACAGAAGATGTACTAAGAACCACTGATCCTGCAAGAGAAGGACTGATGAAGGTGAGTCCGTGCAGTTTTAAATGAACACACACTGTAAAGAAGATTTTCGAGGTCAAGGTACTTACTATCATGTTGAAAATTTAAAGAAGTCCACTCCATGTATTCATTTCCTAGGCTGTCTTAACTCAGTATCATAAACTGGGTGGTTCAAAAAAACGTAAATGGGGGGTGGTGGTGGGGGGTAAGGGTTCAGAAATTACCTATGGGATACATGTTCACTATCTGGGGAATGGGCCACCTGAGACCCAACCCACCACCTCCCCGCCACTACATAATATGTCCATGTAACACACATGCATGTGTACCTCTGAATCTAAAATAAAAATGGAAAAATAAAGAAATAGATTTAGAGAGTTAGGTCACTACATAAAGTATGTGCCTGTGGCATGTGATAGAAATAAGTCTAGGAACAAAAGAGAAACAAAGAAATGTATGTTATAGAAACAAGGACCTCCTAGGTACCTTATTTCTCTTTTTCTCTCCTTTGTTTTTCAATAAAGATAATTGTGAGTCTTTCAGGGGGGGAAAAAAAAAGCAGAAATGTATTGTATCACAGTCCTGGACTGGAAGTCCAAAATCAAGGGATCAACAGGGCTGCTTTTTCTTGAGGGCTGTGCAAAATAATCTATTCTAGGCTTTTCTCCTAGCTTCTGGTAGCTGCAGAGGTTCATTGGCCTGTAGATGACGTTCTTTGTGTCTTCACATCATTCACATCACTGATGTGTCTGTCTCTGTTGAAATTTATAAGAACTGGCCGGGCTCAGTGACTCAGCCTGTAATCCCAGCACTTTGGGAGGTCGAGGTGAGTGGATTGCCTGAGCCCATGGGTTCAAGACCCGCCTAGGCAACTTGGCGAGACCTTGTCTCTACAATAAATAAAAAAAAAATTTAGCCGGGCATGGTAGTGTGCACCTGTAGTTCCAGCTACTTGGAAGGCTGATGCGGAAGGATTGCTGGAGCCCAGCAGGGCAAGGCTGTGGTAGCTGGGAGCGTGCCACTGCACTCTAGCCTGGTCGCCAGAGTGAGACTCCAACTCAACAACAACAAAAAAGAAATCTATAAGGACACCAGTCATGTTGGTTTAGGGACCACCCTAATGCCCTCATCTTGACTTGATCATCTGCGGAGACCCTACATCCAAATAAGGCTACATTCACAGGTATTGGGGATTAGGACTTCAGCATCTTTTTGGGGAGACACAGTTGTTTGTAACACCCTGCCTACAAGGAGAATTGTAATAAGTGGCTATAAACAAAAGATATCTGGCTATTGGTAAGTCTCTTTTGTTTTCCTGCACAGCCCCTTATGTCTAAGTTTTAAAACCTTAATCTACATGGGCTTTCTATTGTGTGGAAAAGTTCTACTTAGTGCATTCAGACATCTGTTGGCAAAATTGTGTCAGATACTATCCTATATGTTACCTGAAATTCTTTATAGGGATTCTCTAATTTCAGAATCTTCAGGGTATTTGTTTTGCAGATGACAACATTGAGGCTGAGCCGATCTCTCTGACATCAGACCTGGCAACCTTTGAAGAGCTGTGGCTCTGTAGAGCAGTTCCAAAGCAGGGACCTGGGCTGGTGGGAGTGTAGGCAGGCACCACGACAGTTTCTCAGAAGTCCAGGCAGAGTCCTCTCGGCTGAACTTTGGCTGGGGCAGAGGCTAAGGAAGAAGGCAGCAACCAGCTGAGAGTTCGGACTGTATGCCTCACATCTGCCCATTTTCATCTGATTAGTATATTTATCATAATTTTGTAGATAAGAAGAAACATGGTATTTCTTAGTCATCTTGAAATGTGCGGTCTGTTCACAGTTGTTTGGGATGCCATTTGATCCCTTTCATAGGGCCTTGTAAACACTAAATGAAATATCAGTACTCTCTCAGATTCAGTTTGAAGAATAAGTTGGTAATTCATTCTTTTTCTGCTGAGCAATCTTAAAAATAAGTTTTTTTCCCTAAATAACAGCTTCATTGAAATGTAATTCACACACCATGAACTTTACTCTTTAAAAGTGTACAGTTCAATGACTTTTAGTATATTCACCAAGTTGCATATCGATCACTACTAATTCCATACCATTTTCATCATGCCAAAAAAGAAGCCCCATATCTACTAGCAGTCACCCCCTCATTCTCTCTCCCCAGTCCCTGACAACCACTAATCTTTCTATCTCCATGGATTTGCCTTTTCTGGATATATTTCATATAAATTGAGCTATACAACATGTTGTCTTTGTGACTTGCCTCTTTCACTTAGCATAATTTTTCTAGGGTTCATTCATATTATAACATCAGTACATAATTTCTTTCTTTTTTTTGCTGAACAATAGTACATTGTATAGACAAACCACATTTTCTTCTCCATTCAACAGTTGATGGACATCTGAGTTGTTTCCATGTTTTGGCTGCTATGAATAATACTTCTATGAGCATTTGTGTACAAGTTTCTGTGAAGACATACATTGTCAGTTCTCTTGGGCATACACCTAGGAGTAGAACCACTGGTCATAAGGTAGCTCTATGTTTAACATACTAAGGAACTGCCAAAGAACCTTCCCTGGCAGCTGCATAGTTTGACATTCTTACCTGCAGTGTTTGAGGGGTTTCAGTTGCCCCACATCCTTGTCAGCACTTGTTATTGTGTGTGTGTGTGTGTGTGTGTGTGTGTGTGTGTGTGTGTGTGTGTGTGTGTGTGCTTTAAGAGACTGGGGCTTGCTTTGTTGCTCAGGCTGGAGTGCAGTGCCAGTCATAGCTCACTGTAGCCTTGCAATCCCAGGCTCAGGTTATTCTCCCACCAGAGTAACTGGGACTACAGGTGCTCACCACTATGCTTGGCTGATTTTTAAAATTTTTGTAGAGATAGGTTCTCACTGTGTTGCTCAGGTTATTCTCAAACTCCTGGCCTCGAGCAGGCCTCCCACTTTGGACTTCTAAAACACAGGGATTATAGACATGAACCACCCAACTGGCTTCATTGTGATTTTGATTTGCATTTCCCTGATGGCTAAGGGATGCTGTGCATCTTTTCATGTACTTATTGGCCAGTTATATACCTTAATTGGGAAAATGTCTATTGGTCCATTTTTAATTGTGTTATTTGACTTTTCACTGTTGAGTTGTGAGAGTGTTTTAATATATATGATTCCAGATGCAAGTCTCTTATCACATATATGATTTACATCTTCCCCCCCGCCATTCTGTTGGTTGTATTTTTTAAGGTCTGATTTTAATTAACTCAACAGATATTATTTTGAAAAGGTTTTTATTCCAGAGAATTAATGATGACTTGAGATTCAGCAAATGAACATGATGTACCCAGCATGATGCCTGGTGTACCTGTTTGTGTGGCTGTCCTAGCTCCTGTGTCACAGATGGCCAGGTGGCTATTTAGTGATTGGCTGCTCTGAATTGGCTCTTTACATAATTTTTTTCAGAATGAGAGTCATTACTTCCTTCGTTTGTCCTTTCTTCTAAGTTTAGTTGAGAAAACCCCCTACATTTTCTGAAAATGTGGCCTATGTTGTGAATAGAAAGAAACTTGAATGCTATTTTCACCTAATGATCCATGTTGTAAAAATCTATCTTACCCCAGCTGTACATGGGGATATTTCCCCCCTCTGTGGAATTCTGAATCTTGACTTATTTTTTTCCCTTTTTCTTTTAATTACATTTTGTTTCTTAGCCAGTTCTTCTTCACAGATTACCAAAAAAAAAAAAAGCTTTCTTAATGTTTTTTTTCCTTTTAACATAATTAGTGTTCCTAATGAGGGATAAGAACTGGATCTCAGTATTGTGTTTTCAGAAACATTTCTTAGTCAAGATCACATGTCACACATTTTCCCCCCTGTAATGAAATTGGACAAATTAAGTGCATTTTCTTTTTCTCCTTTTTCTCCTGTCAGCTTTTGATTGGATATTTCCCTTCTGCCAGATGCAATCTGCTTTTCTCTTCTGGCTTTCCCCTGAACTTTTTGATTTTATAAGTTGAAAAATATAGCCTCCTACATTATACTGATCCAGTTTTGTGACTAGCTAGTTATTCTTAAAGTCTGAACTTGATTTGGCTGCCACTGTCTGAGATATAAAATGTGGCGGCTTCTCGAAGCCAAGCTGGGGTGGTTTTCACAAATCTTTTTCTCATCTAAGATTTAGCTCCAGATGAAGGTGAAATATTTTACATTCTGGCCAATTCGTAAGTTTATTGGCACTGAAAACTTTGTGCCATTTGCTAGATGCTGCAAGTTACCTTATTTTTATTATGAGAGCATTTGAAAAACACGAGTATTTCAGAGACCACTTAAATGATCTTCTCCCTTGACCAGTGGAGGAAACTGAGGCTCAAAGGGGTTGTGAGTTGCTGAAGACTCCCAGCTAATCCAGGCTAAGAAGCCACCACCACAAATGGTGATGATGATAATGATGATGATGATTAAAGGGTCATGGATGAAATATAAAACCAAGCATTAATATTTGAATTAGACTTCTTCCCTTCCCCAAAAATCTCATTTCAATGGATGAGGATGCAGAAGGGAACCACAGGCTGAACTCAGAAGGCCCGGCCTGTTGTTTTGAGCCTGCCTCTGACAGCCTCCTTGTCCAGCTGTCTCAAGTCCTCTTTGAAATGAGGTGGGGAAATCAATACCTGCAATCACATACCCTCTTTTAGTTTCAGTTTTTCACCTGTGAACCAGAGATCCCTGGTGGGTGGTGAGAATCAAATGGTAGCATGTAGGTGGAAGTCACAGCCCAGATAATGGCATTGTTGAGCTGAAGGTGGTGACAAGCAAACACACACACACATAGGCTATCACATAGCAGTGTTGTTAGAGTTAACTTCAATACAGGAGTACTGTCACTTTGTAAATAGCTGGTTGGTTTCATCTCATGGACCATATTTTGGCAGTTGTTGTGGCTGTCTGGTAGGCCACATTGAGGAGGATTCTGAGACCATGAACAGGCCTAGCCAGACAGCTAAGTCTGCTGTGAGCACCGGAGTGGAGGCCTCAGTTTCTGCCACATATTTGCCATCCACGAGTTACACAAATGCAGAGAATTTTACAAGGCAGGAGCATGAAGTCATTTTGACTTGTGAAAGAGAAAGCTTCTAACCCTGTGTGGGCCTGACTTTGACCACAATACAATTTCCTTACTTGTGATGACTTTGCTATGGGCAAGAGATGGCTCTATTTTACAGCCTTAGAATGGGATGAGCCTTAAGTGGTGGTCATTCTCTGGGATTGGAACTCCAGTGTATGTTCCAAATCTGTCACAAGCTGTTGAAAATCACTTGCTTTTGGTGTAGTAATTGATCTTCTCAATTATTTACCCTTCTTCTAAGGGCCAGAATTCTGGGACTAGGATTCTGCTATTGCTAAAGTGGCAGATTGGGTTTATTTCAGGACATATCTAGTGTATCTGCTGAAAAGGGTTCGTCTGGCATCCCTAGAGTTAATTTCCTGTTTTGTTAACATGTGATTGACTGTGCCCTGTCGACTTAAGCTCTACCTCTGTGGCCCTGGGGACCCAGAGCCCTCTCCTGGCATTCTTCCTCACTCTTGGATGCAACATTGTGTGAAAGGTCAGTGGTGGCAAAGCCTCTGTGAGAAGCCATGATGCATATTTTGGCTTTTCAGTACAAAGAGAGTCCTGTGGAGGTGGAGCATGCACCTGGCCCCAATATATGGGTCGAATCCAAGCACAAAATTTATCGCGTCTGATTTTCCTCTTTGGTCTCACTTGATGTTTGTTCTTTTTTTTTTTTCTTGAAAGGTTGAGTCATTTGGGGAAAGGATTGTGCTTTTCATTCTAAACGTCATTATTTTTGGAAGATTGGAGAGAAATTTGGATGATGATGACATGTTTTTTTTACCTCACTCTGTGAAGGAGCAAGCTAAAATCCTGTGGAGACATGGAGTGGCTGTCGGATTTTACACAATGAAAATGAAAGGTGAGGGACACACTAGTGCCCTTTTAGGCTGAGGGTGAGGGGAGCGCTTTTCATGTCAGTCTGTCTTGGAGAGCTCCCTTAGCATTGCACAGAGTGAATCTTCTGCTACAGGAAGTACCCTAATTAAGCAATTGTTTAAATAAACCCAAGGTATAGGTTTTATTTTCACCACATTTCTTGTCTCACAGGAATACTGGTGAAAAGCGTGTCCCTTTGATTCTCAGGCAGGGCCTATGTCCCCCTTTAAAAAACATATTACAGTTAATGGTGTAAAATCTAATTTCTTTGCTTTAATGTTACCATTTAGTTGTCAGGAAAAATACCATTGTGAATAGCTGACATGTGGAGCAAAAGCACCCTGGATGCCAACATTTATAGACATTACCTCAGAAGAGAGGGAGTCCGGCCATGATAACGTTAGGTTGAAAGACTGTGACTTGAGGGTCAATGACAAGTAGTGAGTGTGGAACTAGAACCATTTTGCTGAAGGGATTGGTCTCTTTTTTTAAAGTTGCTTTCTTTAACTGTTTTTTTCTTTTTTAGAAATTGGATCTTCCTATGGCCTTGAACTCCTGAGTTCAGGTGATCCTCTGACAACAGCCTCCCATGCAACTTGGATTATAAGAGTAATTTTTAAAGGCTGTCATTGTCTCTCACTCAACTGGTCTCAGCTCCATCATTTGGTTCTTATAAAGTTCTCAATTTTAGTAAAAAATGAGTTTTCCCAGTAAACTGTCACAGATGGGCCACTGAGTTGAGTGTTTTTCTTAGGGGATAAAGAGGCTGAGTTTGGTCAGAGTCACGCTCATATTGTGTATATGCTCTACCTGTCCAGGATGGACACAAATCTGTGGGTCTCACATTTCCCCCCCTCAGTGTGATATGACCGGTTTCCCATTCTAACAACTTCTGTGTTAATTTATTATTCAGTAAGTTCAGGCATAGAGGCTTTAGCACTTGTGTCTCTCAGCTCCTTTACTCTGATAGCCATTTTCTCTTTGATTTTGATGTGCCCTTCCACTTTTTTGTTTTTTGAGTTGAAGTCTCACTCTGTTGCCCAGCCTGGAGCGCAACGACACGCTCATGGCCACCGCAGCCTCTACCTGCCGGGCTCAGAGGATCCTTCCAGCTCAGCCTTCCAAGTAGCTGGAACTCCAGGACCACACAACCACGTTTGGATAATTTTTTGATTTATTGTAGAGACAAGGTCTCACCAAGTTGCCCAGGCTGGTCTTGAACTCCTGGGCTCAGGCAATCCTCTCATCTTGGTCTCCCAAAGTGCTGAGCCACTGTGCCCGGCTCCACTTTTTTTTTAAATGATTGTGTTCTTTAGTCATTAATTTAAGATAGACTAAGAGGCCTGGAGAATAATTAAAATGGAAGGGAAACTTTTTGTAATTTCACTTGCCTGGGAGACTCATTAGTTAACACTTCTATCAAATGGCTGGTTTTGAATCCGTAGCAGAATCATTTGTGGTATAGACACCCTCCTTATCGTGACAAAAACCGTTAACAGATTCCAACTTGATGTGTAAGGATGACAGATATGGGGCAGAAACAGCTTGGCTTTGGTCTTGGCTGGTCCTGCTGCTGCTCCCCTGGAGGCAGCGACACCAAGGGCTTTCAGTTCCACAGAGAGGAAGCAACAGTTCCTTGCGACTGCCTGTTTCCTCCCCAGGCAGTTTTAGAGTCTTGGAGTGGAAGGAGGAGGACCTCAAGATATTGAGCTGAGTCAGATCAGACTAGGTGCTTGAATTTCTGTCTTTTCATTTCTGATGACTTCCACAAACTCAGTGGAAATTTCTCTCAAGCTTCTTCCTAGGTCACATTATTTTCATCAATGATGCTAGTTATCCAGCAATTTAATTTGGTTTAAGAAGTGTTGGCCGGGCTCGGTGACTCAGCCTGTAATCCTAGCACTTTGGAAGGCCGAGGTGAATAGATTGCCTGAGCCCACAGGTTTGAGACCAGCCCAGGCAACCTGGTGAGACCTCGTTTCTAGAATAAATGGAAAATTGGCTGGGCGTGGTGATGCATGTCTGTAGTACCAGCTAGTTGGAAGGCTGAGGCAGAAGGATCGCCAGAGCCCAGCAGGTCGACGCTGGGGTGGCTGTGAGTGTGCCACTGCACTCCAGCCTGGGCGACAGAGTGAGATTCCAACTCAAAAAAAAAAAAAGTATCAAACTTGTAGAAAATTAAATAAAGGAAGCAAATGTATTTTTCAGGTATACATTGACAACTTAAAATTTGTGATTGCCTATTTTTAGATTAATTTATTTTGGGAGAGACAAAATAAAAATATTTCCATGGAATTGCTATACATATCACCAGCAGCAATGTATGAGAGTCCTAGTTGCTTATATCCTTGCCAGTACCTAGTGTTGCCAGTCATTTTAATTTTAGCTATTCTACAAAGTGTGAAGTGGTATCTAATTTTGTTTTCTTTTTTGAGTGCAGTGCTCGATTACGGCTCACCGCAGCCTCAACCTTCTGGATTCAGGTGATCCATCTGCCTTAGCCTCCCAAGTAGCTGGGACTATAGGCACACAGCACCACGCCTGGCTAATTTTTTTTTTTACTTTTTGTAGAGATGAGGTCTTGCTATGTTTCCACGGCTGGTCTCAAACTCCTAGACTCAAGCAATCCTCCTACCTCAGTCATCCCAAAATGCTAGGATTACAGGTGTGAGCCACTGTATTTGGGCTAATTTTGGTTTTAATTAGCATTTTCCTAATGATGAGTGGAATTGAACTTTTTCATGGGCTTATTTGGTGGTCACATTTCTTGTTTGATGAAGTGTGTATTCAAATATTTTGGCCCATTTTTTATTGGGTTATTTCTTATTATTGAACTTTGAGAGTACTTTATCTATTTTAGGTATCAGTTCTTTATCAAATATAAGTTTTGAAAACATTTTCATTTTGGTAACTGTTTTTCAAAGAGCAGAAGTTTTAAATTTTGCTGAAGTCTAATTTGTCAGTTTCATCATTATTCAACTGAAAATATTTTGTAATTTACCTTTTGATTTCTATGGGTTCTTTGAAAGTGAGTTTAAAATGCCAGATGTTTTGGGGGGGGGACTATCTCAGATGTTTTATTTTTGTCGATTTCTAATTTATTCCTGTTGACATGAGAGAATACAATCTGCTACATTTTAATATTCTGAAAACTATTGAGAGTTGTTTTATGGCCTAGTATGTGGTCTATCTTTGTGAACACTCTACATGGACTTAAAATAGTATGCATATTCTGTAAGTGTTGGTGTAGTGTTTAGAACTGTCAGGTTAAGGTGGTTGGTAGTGTCATTCATATCTACATTCTTACCTATATTTTGTTCTAGTTCTGTCAATTTCTGAGAGAAGCCTGTTAAAGTCTTTACTTGTGATTGTGGATTCATCTCTTTCTCCCTTTAGTTTTGTCAGTTTTTATTGTATGCATTTTTGAAGTTTTGTTATTAGTTACAGCTATGTTTATAACTTATATTTATCTTATGTATTGACCATTTTTATCATTATAAACTGTACCCAGTTTTCTCCAGTAATATTTCTTGTTATGAATACTATTTTGTCTGATATTACATGGATACTTCTTATGCTTCTTTCTTATGCTTACTGTTTGCATGGGAAGTATTTTTTCCTGGTTTTACTATTTTACATTTTGTCTATTTGTGCCTTTATTTTTAAAGCATTTGTTTTGTTGACAGCATACAATTGGGTCTTAGATTGTAAATCTAGTCATAACAGTCTGTCTTTTAATTGGAGTGCTATTCTATTTACATTAATTATTGATATGGTTGTACTTAAGACTTTCCTTTTGTGATGTTTCATGTCATCTTTTTTGTTCCTCTGTTTCTCTTTTTTTGTATTCTTTGGTTTTAATCAAATATATTTTAGTATTCTGTTTCAATTTGTCTGTTGGCTTTCTAGCTCTTTTTACATTTTTAAAGTTGTTTCTCTAGGGATTCTATATGCATCCCAAGTTACTTAGATAATATTGAATTCTCTTGGTAAAATATAGAAACCTTGCAAAAGTGTATTTTTATATACCCCTAATTTTATTATATTAACATAGAGCTATTGTTGTCATATAATATACGTTTATGTTATAAACCTATCAATGCTGATTTGTAATTTTTGCTAAGTAGTCTTGTCTTTTAACAATATTAAGAAAATAAAAGAAAAAAATGTATAATCAAAAAATATTTGCTCACTTTTTTTTTCTTGAGCTGGAGTCTCACTCACTCTGTCACCCAGACTGGAGTGCAGTGGCACACTCCCGGCCACCACAGACCTCGCCCTGCTGGGCTCCGGCTATCCTTCCACCTCCGCCTTCCAAGTAGCTGGAACTACAGGTGTGCGCTACCATGCCTGGCTAATTTTTTATTTATTGTAGAGATGAGGTCTCTCCAAGTTGCCCAGGAGGATCTCGAACCCATGGGCTCAGGCAATTCACTTGCCTTGGCCTCCCAAAGTGCTGGGATTACAGGCTGAGCCACTGAGCCTGGCCACTCACATATTTACCTTAAAAAAATTTTTTTTGTATAGTTCCTAGTTGCCATCCAGTGTCACTTTTCTTTAGGCTAAAATACTTTCCTTAGCATTCATTTCTCATAGTGAAATTCTGTTGGCAAGACATTATGTCACTTTTGTTTACTGAAAATGTTTTTTACTTCACTTTCATAGTTAATCTGGGTGTAGAGTTATTAGAGATAGCTTATTTTCTTCAGTACTTTGAATATATTGTTCTGATATCTTTTGACTTTAATAGTTTCTGGTGAGAAGTCAGTTGTTATTGTTGTCCTCTCATATACATGTGTCATTTTTCTTTGCTTTCAAGATTTTCTCTTTAACTTTGGTCCTTCCTTCCTTCCTTCCTTCCTTCCTTCCTTCCTTCCTTCCTTCCTTCCTTCCTTCCCTCAGTTGACTGTGATGTGTTTATGTCTTAGCCCAGTAATCCCCAACCTTTTTGGCATTAGGGACTGGTTTCGTGGAAGACAAGTT